TTCGAAAAAGGCTTTATTTTTCAAAAGATCAGCCTCTAAGCAGCCGCTTTTTTCCGACAAAGAACCGTGCCGGAAAAAGCGGCGGCCATTTTTATGCTAATGAAGCACGGGATATTTAAATCTCCGCTTCATTAGCGATTTCTATGTGCCTAATTTGCATCTCTGTCGGCAGAGAGATGCAGTCTAGACACACCCTTAGTGTGCAAAGGCTGTTTTATACTATATAAAAGGAAGATTATTATTAACATTGAAGTAAAATCTTAAACAAAGAATGCAACATAGGAACAAAATACATGGCTTTGCTATACAAATCTCAAGGATCAAGAGCAGGAATTACTTTTAAAAACTAATACTGTCAATTGATTTTCAAGCCTTTACACGTACTTTTGCAATCAGAAAAGGCAGGCAACATGGGAATTACAAACAAAGACAAAGGTGCATTCTAAAACATTTACTTTAAAAGACATAGTGAATCTCTTACTATTATTATATAAACTTCTATTTGTTTGGCAGTACATATTGTAACACAGAACAATACATAGAAAAGGAAGCTGCAATGAGTGGTTCAGGTGGGCAGAAGATTCATTTGTATTTTATGTTTTATGATATTCAAGGTGTTTGTAACAATTAGCTTGTGCAGATAACGTTTTGATAAGATACACTTGTCTATTTCTTAGTCCTATATATTCTATTATAATGTATCTGTGCATAAACAATTGCTAGGAGTTTAAATGTGAATATAAAGGAGATCTGGCAACTTCTCACTCAGTGAATAACAAAAATCTGAGGAAGTGTCTAAGTGAGAAAATAATATGAAGTGCTAATGAACTAAACTCTAAGCGAGGTGTTTATCACCCACAGAAGCAGAGAATGTCCTTGGAAAAAGCAACAAAGGCTAGAGAGAGCTCTTTGAAGCACAGAAGGAAATTAGAAGATTGCATATCAAAGAGTAACAAAGATAAAAATAGAGTATAATACCAAGTGAAACAGAAAAGACAGTGAAGTTAAAAAAAAAAAAAAAAAAAAAACCAACAACATCCCACTGCTGTAGGGAGTGAGTTATTGAAACTGATGTCTAAGAGGAACAGCTGAGCTAATGTCTGAACATTCTAATGAAAATGTAACATGGGTTCCAAACCAAGAAAAGCTCTTTTAGAGAAGAACAGTGACTAAAAGGGAAAAATAAAAAGGGACTTGCCAAAAAACAACGTTTTAATTGTGGGGGCAGCATGAACTTGCAATATAAATGCATCACTTGGATCCCTCTCTGGAGCTAACTGATGTTTGGATGGACTGCTACCCATAGATTAGATGAACAAGTGTCTGCATACTAATACCTAAGCACCACTGCTTTTAAAACTCTGTACTAACATGATTTGTCATAGCTTGTGACTAAGTAGGGTTACGTTTAACCGCTGTTCTTACTTTTAGTATTTTATTTCTCTATTTCGTAAATATACTTGAAATTAAACAAAATACTTTATAACTATTTACCTGGATGGAACTATTACATAGGGATATCAATTCTGTCTGCCCACTCTAAGAAATGAACAAGTTTTTACCGGTAAGAGAAAAGGAAACAAATAAGTTAACTTATCCAGTGATACACAAGATCACAAAAAAGTGGCTGTCATCTCCACTGAGAAGAGGTATCAGAGATGGCTAGGGCTTTGTGATGAGGTTCGGTGACTTGCTGTTACAAGCCTACACGCAGATAAGAATTCCACAATGCTAATAATATATATATTATTTATTTAGAGAAAATACTGCATATTCAACTACATTATTGTGTGTGTGTTAGATGCTCTCAAAGAGCATCTATCACACACAATAGTGTGCCAAGCCTAAAAGCTCTTAAAGGGAAAATATTTAATTAAAATATTCTTTATCTATGTACTGCCTTCAGTTGTAATTTATTTTACATCACAAGATCAAGCAGGGTTTAAAACCCCCCCAATATTCCCATGGCAAAAATACATTTCCTAAACAGTAGAGCAACAAAGTCACAATGTAACTGAGAGCAAGCTGTTACATAACTTCAGTGACAGACTATTAAACACTGCTCTTGTGTTCCCAGAACCCATAGCAACTTGGTATAGGAGAGCACTGAAAGTTAACTATTAACATACTAATATCAAAGCTAGGATAAACTATGAAGTACAAAAATAGACTAAAATGCATAAAAATCAAATTGAACTATAACAATAAATTGCAAGGACAAAGATAAATTATCACAATCAAACAGCTGTACTAGCTTTTAAAAAGAAAACATTTGCTAATAGATTCAGGGGTTAAGTATAAATTCAATAAACTAGAATAAGGAATGGCTGCTCTTGTTAAGCTCTACTGCACTGTGGACATAATGAGTGCTCAATATGCTTGTGGCTGTGTGAAAAAAAAAACTTAGGGATGGGGCTAAGGAATCTTAAATTGCATTCAATTGGATTGCATCTATTCTGTTCATAATAAGGTTTAACTCGTGATTGGGGAAAAGTAGTAAATCCTTCTTGTAGTTATCTAGTAAGACTGTTTCTTATATAAAATGATCATAAGATTTTTTTTGCCCAGTTAGAAAACAGGAACTTAGGCCTGGTCTATCCTAGAAAGTTAGGTTGGCTTAAATATGTTGCTAAAGGCTGTAAAAAATCCACATCTCAAGTGGCATTATTAAGAAAAGTCAGGTCACTACACAAAAGACAGGACTATGTAGCACTTTAAAGGCTAACAAGATGGTTTAATAGGTGATGAGCTTTCGTGGGCCAGACCCACTTCCTCAGATCAAATAGTGGAAGAAAATTGTCACAGCCATATATACCAAAGGATACAAATAAAAAAAATGAACACATATGAAAAGGACAAATCAAATTTCAGAACAGAAGGGGGATGGGAGGGGGGAAAGGAGGGGAGGTAAATGTCTGTGAGCTAATGATATTAGAGGTGATAATTGGGGAAGCTATCTTTGTAATGGGTAAAATAATTAGCGTCTTTATTCAAATTTGAGCGTAAAGTGTCAAATTTAAGCATGAATGACAGTTCAGAGGATTCTCTTTGAAGTGAAGTTTTAAAAGGTCTTTGAAGCAGGATGCTTTACTACACAGACAGCAGTAAATTGATGCAAGGATTCTTTTCTAGTCCTAGCTACTGCCTCTCAGGGAGATTGACTAAGTACAGAAACGGGAGAACCTCTCCTACAGTGTAAGCATTGTCTATGCTGAAGTGCTAAGGCTGTAGGCACTCCAGAGTTGGAGCACCCCCGGGGAAAAAATCAGTGGGTGCGGGGTACCCACTAACTGCCAAGTACTACACTTTGTCCTCTTCTCTGCCGGCATCTCTGCTGACCAATTCCCACCCTTCTCTACCCTCCCAGCGCTTCTGGGGAACCACGAACAGCTGATTTGTGCCATTCAGGACGCTCCAGAAAGGGAGGAGTGGGATGTGCTCAGGGGAAGAGGTGAGGTGGGGAAGGCATTTGGGGAAAGGGTTGGAGAAGAGGTGAAGGGAAGGATGATCACCCCCACTTAGAGGGGTCTTTTTAATCTTTCACATGGAAGCTGTTCCATACCCTTAATCATTTTTTGCTGCCCTTCTGTGTACCTATTCTGTTTCTTTTTTCAGATGAGGTGACCAGAACTGCACACAGTATTCAAGTTGTAGGCACACCATGGCTTTATATTAGTAGCATATTGATATTTACAGTCTTATCGCACCACTTTCCTAATGGTTCCTGATATTATGATAGCTTTTTTGACTGCCACTGCACATTGAGTGGATATGTTCCCGGAACTATGACAACTCCCCAATTATTTCTTGAGTGGAAGCAGTTAATTTAGACCCTTCATTTTGTATGTGTAGTTGGGATGATATTTTCCAATAAGCATTATGGTACATATATAATATGATTTTACTGTATTGTCAGTAGTTTTCCAGAAATAGTCTTGACTACTATCAATGCTCTTTTGTATTTCAGTGCTGTGCATTCACCTGCTGGCTGGTTTGAGTAAGCGGTCATGCTTATTTGATATGGTACAGCTTCAGCAAAGCATGTTCTGTTCATTCCCTCTGAAGCACCTGGCAGTGGCTACTATCGGAAGACAGGTTACTGGGCTAGATTAATTATTAGTCTCACCCAGCATGGTGGTTCTCATGTTCTTAGAGTTGGAGGATGGGAAACAATGTCTGGAAATTGATCTTCATGGACACTGAGGAACAATATCAGGAAGGGTGGTTAATAATTAAGTGCGAGACTTGGGGACAGGATAGGATTTGGAATGAACAGACTCTCTTTGGAGAGCAAAGAATGGGCTACTTTTCAACATTGTATGGGTAGCTGAAATGGGTAGAAAGGTGGAAGAAGTCCTATTCTGTTGGAGAAGTAGCTGAGTGGGTTAAGAAGAAACTAATGCGCTGGGGGGTGGGGGGGGGAGGGGGAGAGAAAGGGATTTTCAGTGTAATCCCTTGGGGACATGAACACCTACCATTACATTTTCTGCAGGTCAAAGGCTCTAAAATTGTTTTTGTTTCTCAATCCCGCCAAGGTCAATACATTCACAACACAAATCCAATACACTTTTAGTAACTGGATTCAGAGAAATCAAATACAGAAATGTAAGTCTCAATTCATAAAGTTTGCTATACCGCAGGCTAAATCCTGAAGTCCTCCTTCAGTTTTTTACAGTGTTATCTCCTGCTGACTCTTGTGTGATTGTCTGAGGTTAGCCTAAGACCTGTTCTCCCTATCTATAGAGCATTGTGATGCTGCCACCAAGCTAGCCATCTGGCACTATTAGAGAGAATATATATAATTCAACTTTCAATCATATTGAACAATTTTTCTGTGAATTCCAGAATAGTATATCATTATGCATCTATTCTAAAGCTAGATCTCAAAGTGATGGATGCCCCGATAATAGTTTTCAGTGACTATGTGCAAGTGTGGCTAGAAATAATAGCTAAAACTGGACTCTTGAACAATACATACAGTAAGAACATCCAGTATTTACCTGACAAATATGCAAACTGCTTCTTTAACTGGTCTTCAATATCTGCAGCACTGAGGGGAATTATATCCTGATGCATGATTTCTTCTGAAACAAAAAATATTGCTATATTATTTTACAGAGAATCACAGTCTACACCAACTGTCACCTCTAGAGCAGTGACTTCTAGAGCTATTCAAATTTTGAAACACCTGTCATATGTCTGGAGAAAGTCATTCAGTCTTCTGGCAAGAACAATCTTTTGGTTTTGTGCAGCGGGACTGATATAGTCACAAATGATTACAAGTAATAGCTTTGCTGAGACAAATAAAACTAGAAAAGCTGTTTATTCTTTGATGTGATTGTATTATGGGATAGAGGTAAATCTTACTTTGAACTTGAAGTTCAAACTCAAATTTCATTACAGCCTACTCAGATTAAAAAAAAAAAAGAAAAAGAAAAGAAGCAGCAGCAGAAAATGGGGCTATTTGTACATAGTCTACTCTTGCTGAAATTCGCCTGTAATATATAGAGTAGCCTTTCAGAATGTTGGGTAATATTATGTAGGCATCTCCAGGCTTCTCAGTGTGTCAACAAGAAGAAGCAACATGTACATTCAGAACCACACTCACTATACTGGTCACTAAATCCAAATCTAAATGTGGTTGAATGAAAACTTCTAAGAATAATAAAAGTTTTTCAATTAATATTCTTTGTAATACGAATATAAGGTTCACTATTCCAAATCAGTCTCAGAAGGGTAGCTGTGTAAGTTTGTAACTAAACAATAACAACAACAAAAAAACCCATAAACAAACAAAAAAAAAAACCTCTGCAACCCTTAAACAATAATGGTCCCGTATCACCTTATAGCAGGTCTAGTTAGAACAGCTAATTCTAGCTGAGAGGGGCACTCCGGTCAATGCCGGTAGTTCTGCTTCCATGAGGAGTAAGGGAAGACAAAAGAAGAGTGTTCTCCCTTCAACGTCCTGCAGTGTGGGCAGCACCTAAAGTCAAGTTAAGGTACTTTGACTTCAGCTATGCAGTTAACGTAGCTGAAATTGTGTATCTTAATTAAACCTTATCCTGCAGTGTAACCATACCCTTAGAGACTAACCAAAAAATAAAGATAGTATCATGAACTTTGGTAAGCATAACCCACTTCACATGACCAATATGGAACAAGGGGTGCAAGGTACAAATATACAGCAGAAAAGGAGGGGAGAGAGGGAGGGGAAAAAAACCTGTCACTTAAAGTATCCATACTAAATGAGGCGAATAGAGCCCTGGTCTACAATAGGGAGTTGTTTTGAAATAACTCCCTTTATTTCAAAGCAACAATTGAAGCATCCAAACTACCAAGCCTGTGATTTTGAAATAATGGGCTGGTTATTTTGAAACAAAAACTCCTGCATAGTAGTGTGGACATTCTACTGCTGCTATTTCAAAATAACTACTCCCCAGTGTCATTCAAAGTCTACTACTCTCCAGTGCTTCCTGGGGCTCTAAGTCGAGGTAGCAGATACCACATTAAAGGAGCCAGCCTTGGACTAATTTCGAGGCTTCCCTGTACTGTGGGCACATTATTTCGAACTATTTAACAACAAACAACATCTGGGCATATTTAGTTAACATTAATGGAGGAACGTGCATGGTTTACCACTGCAGTACTACAGGACAAGCAGAAGTATTTTTCATAAGATCAATATATCCTTCAAGTTGCCTGGTAATTAAGAGCCATGTTAAGCATCTATTCTGTCATCTGTTGTGGATCAGATGGTATTTAAGTGCTACTTTAGAGAAAAGCACTGTTGTAATCTAGTGATGCCATTTTCTAAACATTCTTTGATTTATTTGCTGAATTGAAAAACAGGCCTGTACCAGCACCCCAAATCTTGAAGAGTCTTCAACCTGTACCAAGTCTAGAGCAGCATCAAAATTAAAGGCTAGCCCCTAAAGCAACATCAATGGTTCAAACCAAAATCCCAATTCAAAACACACTTGGAATTTTGGATTAAAATTTTACAGCTCTGACACATCTTCAGCAGTTTGTTCATAATTAAAGTGCTAACCACTTAAATAGCACTGATGGCAACATAAGCGCTAAAAGCATCTAACAGAACACTTTAAAATATTGTTCCAAGAGATCAAAAACATAATATCTTCTATTAATTTCTATGATTTTTGCACACTTGAAGTCTATGGAAATAATGAAAAGTTAAATGCACATCTTTGTGCCTTAATATTATAGTACATGTTTTAAATAATATCGAATACTTAAATTAGTTATTGAAGATAAGGATAGCATTTCAATCCTAACTTGGCATTTTCCTGCTTTGGTTAAATCTTTAGGAAGTAAGGTACTTTTTTTGTCACATCTCTTCAAGAAAGTAAACCTTCTACCATCAGCAATTCCCATCTGCTGGTCCGCAGACCTCTGGCTGATGGGCTGCGGTGGCACTGGGCACCAGGACTGGTGTATATTGCTCCTGCCATAGCTGTTGGGAGAGGCATGTCCTGCTCTGCCTCTCAGCCAACCTGTGCCAGGCAGGGGCGGGGACACGGACGAGAAGTTCACTGTGCAGTGGGAGCTGGCTGCTATGAGGTAGCGCAGAGCTAGATGAGGGGGACAGGGCAGGCACTGGAGGCTCTGGGGGTGGGATTGGTTCTGGGGGTGGGGGGTTCTAAGAGGTGGGGGCTGACACTTGGGAGCTCTGAGGGTGAAACTAATACTGGGGGGAGATAGGGGCAGGGCTAGTACTAGGGAGCTCTAAGAGGCAGGGGGCTGACATTGGGAGCACTGGGGCAACCAGGGTGGGGAGCTGGCACTGGGGTATTCTGGGGGTGGGGCTAGTAGTGTGGGGGTTATGGGGGCAGAGCTGGCACTGGGGACTCTGGAGACTGGGCTAATATTGGAGACTGGGGACTAGCACTGGGGAGACCTTGTGGGGAGGGCTGGGTGCAGTTGGTCTCTGGAAGCAGGAAGCTGGCACTGGAGGGTTTGGTGGTGGTTGGCTCTAACGGGCGGGGGGCTGGCACGGAGTCATTTGGAATGGGAGCTGGCACCAGGGGGAGTTGGGTACAGAGGACTCTGGGGCCAGTGGCTGGTGCTGGGGGGTACTGCAGGAATGGAGAGCTCTAGGGGTTAGGGCTGGCACTGCGGGGCTCTGGGGACCAGGGCTTTTTGCAGACCAGTAGCATTTTATTTGCATAATGAATATGCATATATGCAAATAAGGTGTTACTGGTCCACCCAAAGTTTGTGAATGGGTTTTCTGGTCCCTGGTATTAAAAAAAAAAACCACTGCTGTATATATCATTGGAATTTACTACTTAGAATTGGGTTATACTTGGGAATAGAAGATTAAAATTATCTTCAGCCACCAAAGAAGAATTTTTAGGAAGTAAACCTAATACTAGCAAAAGAGCAGCAGAATTCTAAGAAGTGCTATTTTTAACAGTAGCCAAAGAATTATTAGTTTCATTTCTTCCAGATAAGTAGTGATTTATTATTTGAAACAGAACTTCACTGTTCTCTTTCTGGCATCTTTGCAGAAGAAGCACTGATAACTTCTTTCAAGCCACACAATGATTGAAATAATCTTTCTGTAACCTGCAGAATGGTGAACCTCTCATTGGCCAAAAGGCATCTGTATACCTGAGTTTAAAATCCACAAGAATATATGTTTAATAGTTAACTATGATTTAACTCTTGGGCCTCCTGTAATGCAACTTTCTGATATATACAGGAGATAACTGAATTAAGTTCTTTCAAGAGAAATGAAAGATCTCTTTTATATGATCAGCTCTCCCAAAGAAGAAAAATCCAGTCCAATACAAGCGGGGGGAGTTTACTGTTGGGACAATACAAACATTATGAAGATTCCATCTGCAGTCTCTCACACACTTGAAGGCCTACAATTCTGATCTTTCAAACAGATATGCAGGGGTGGACTAATCTACCCCTTCAAATCTGATTATAGGTTCAAACTACAAACCCTACATTTTCCAAAAATATCCAGACACAGGGAAGGTATCTCACAATGGTGGCAACAAAGAGAAATATTTTCATAATAGAAATGTAGGCTCCTGGTAAAATCTTACTATACCGTATATTCCGGCGTACAAGACGACCTCTGATGTTAAAAAACATCCCCCAAAAATCGGGGGTCGTCTTGTACGCCGGATGCCCCGCCGCCGGAGCCCCTCCGCGGCTTTGAAAGCCTCGGGGGAAGC